CACTTCTCTGTATTATTAAATTTGATACATCATAGTTTAAAAATATCATGAGGTAAATAGAAGCACCAAAATTAAAGAAAAACACAAGTTGTTGGTCAGGGTGGCCCAAGTACTTCTCTGTATTATTAAATTTGATACATTCATAGTTTAAAAATATCATGAGGTAAACAGAAGCACCAAAATTAAAGAAAAACACAAGTTGTTGGTCAGGGTGGCCCAAGAGACTCTCAGACAGTAACCCAGCATAGAACTGGGAAAATGAACAGCAGGCCCCAATCTTATCTAAAGGAATATTGGCAACTGATTACTGCTAGATGAGGAACAGCTGATCTTCCTAAAACACGGCTCTCTAGATAGGCTAACTAGATTCAGCAGGCTGGACAAGCACTGGGGAACGGCTGGGGGTGCCGACAACACAGTGGACAGTAACAGGGATGACAGAGTATATGGGCTCCAGTGGGGGTGGGGGGAGGCTATGGGAGGGTGCCATTTGGGAAGTGGGTATATAGATGAATAAGATTGTGTGGGACGTTCTGTATGATATACACACAAAAAAATCAACAAATAAAAAAAGGAGTTATATTTGAGGAAGAAGCATAAAAATTTATTTCATGTTCATTAGTAGAGGTGATAAACATTACCAGTGCAATCTAGCTGATGATTTTATATCCATACTCAGGTGCCAAGGATCCAAGTGTAACCGACTGTGGTGACTAGTAATAATCAGATACATAGAGATCAGAGACGCATGTGCAAACATCTAAGTGTTAGTAGCATTAAAAATGAGTCTTTCTAAGCCGAGTGCACGCCTTTAATCCCAGCACTCGGGAGACAGAGGCAAGCAGATCTCTGTGAGTTCAAGGCCAGCCTGGTCTACATAGTAAGTTCTAGGACAGCTGGGGCTACAGGGAGACCCTGATTCAAAAAGAAAAAAAAAAAAGTGTTTAAATTACCATAAAACACAAAATGAGGACTGTCAAATAGTGGAAATCTTGTAATGATCAGAAAAACTGGAGCTGGGTGTAAGTGTTCTAGCATCCCACCTCTAAGAAAGGAAGGCATTTCACTTCAAAAGCATGGATTCCAACTGACACGTGATTTCTAAAGTCCTCTAATGCAACATTTAAGAAAGCGGTATGGCAGAGGGGAGTCAAATGCATCAATTGCTAGTCTTCAGGAAACTCTGACTCCTCACAGTGTTCATCAACCCGACCCAAACCTAGACAAACCTGAGACAAGATCATCTCAACTGAGGCATTTCCTGAGTGTTAACTGATGTAGGAGGGCCCAGCACAGTGCTGTCCCTAGGCAGGTGGGCCTGGCTTGAGTAAGGAGGGTAGCTGAGCAAGCAGAGGGAAAGCAAGCGGGAAAGCAGTGCTCCTCAGGGGTCTCTACCTCAGTCCCTGCCTCCAGGTTCCTGCCTCGGCTTCCCGCAGTGATGGACTGTGACACTAAATAAACCCTTTCCTCCCCAAGTAGTATCTGGTCAGTGTTTTATCACAGCAACAGAATGTACACTGGGACCGGCTCATTATGAACACTTATCTCTCCTTCTCTAGCAGAGAACATTTCAAGAGTGTTGTCACTAAGCGTCACTTGTGTTCTATGGTCATTTTTCTGAACGCTTACATTTTTGTGACATTCCTTAAGCAAGTTAATCAAGGTGTTGCATTCTTCAGTGTGCAAGTGTGGAGATAAGTCAGGATGCATCTTCAGGAGGAAGGACCACAGCAGTGCAACCTGTGAATACAAGCATTCCATGAATAGGCATGATAGACCAAGAATACCACCCAACCCTAATTTCAGTAGGAATCAAGTCACCTTATCAGAAGAGAATGTTAATTAACCAGCTGTGTGGCCTTAGGCAAACTACTCAACTGGAACCACAGATTCTTACCCAATGACTTAAATATCCAGGAAGTTATCAGACTTTAGAAAACCTGCTAGTCCAGGGGTAGAAGAGCAGTAATCCTTGTAATCCTCAGGAGAGCTAATCCTGGACTAAGCGCTCAAGCAGAAACAGCCTGCCTTTGCTAATAAGGCCCTCTTTAAATGCTTCTCACAGGTGAAATTTCACCAATTAAGTGAATTGGCTTAATAGACAGGGTTTCCCTGTAGCCCCAGCTGACCAGGAACTCGATATGTAGACCAGGCTGATCTCAATTTCACAGAAATTAGCCTGCCTCAATCTTCCTAGAGCGGGGATTAAAGGTGTGTGCCACCACGCCCAGCTTAGTAATTCTTTTAAAGCATATATTCCTCTGAGAGGGTTAAAAGGCCATTAGTCAGTCTCACATTAGTGTGACTTAATACAGATTGCTTCCTTTTTAACATCTGGCTGAGAAAACCTCCCTAAATGATGAAGTGAAAGAAGATGCCAGACAATTTTCTTTTCAAATTTAATGGATCATACATAAAAGTAATTATTACACTGAAAATAGGAAGCTAAGATCTCTGAAATTAGTTTAATGGTTCAATCACAAAGTAGAAAATTAGCAACCAAGGCCAAAGGAAACTCATTATTTTGAAATGTTTGCTATAGTTACATTATGCAGTATTACTGTGCTATCCTTTAAAACACACTTTAACTCAGAAAACACCCAGAAGAATGCACTACTTGTTTTAATCTTTGTTAAAATTTTTTATATTTTATTATTTTTATTTTATGTGTATGCGTGTATTGCCTGCATGTAGGTAAGTGCACCCGTGTCGTGCAATGCCTGCGGAGGACAGAAGGGACTTACAGACTGTTGTTAGCCACCATGTAGGTGCTAAGAACCCAGGTCTTATGCAAGAAAGAACAGTGTTCTTAACCACTGAGCCATCTCTCCAGCCCTTTTTTTAATCTTTGTAAAAAGAAAACCTAAGAACTACTCCAGACATCAGGCAGCTCATAAACCAACATGCAGGCAGTTCCAGGGGATCAATGGCCAGCCTCTTCTGGCCTCTACTGGCATGGCATGCCCATGGTGCACATAAGCACATGGAGGCGCGCGCACACACACACACACACACACACACACACACACACTAAGCAAATCTTAAGAAACAAAACAAACAAAACCCCCAGAAAATAACAAGTGCTAGTGAGGCTGTGGAGGAACTGGAACCCTGTGCACTGCTGGTAATGTAAAATAGTGCAGCCACTCTGGGAAATAGTAGCTAGGAAAAAATTAGACATAGGGACCCAGACATATAATTTCAGCACTCAGGAGGCAGAGCAGGAGAAAACTGAGCTCAAGCCAGTCTGACGTGGTTACATAGCAAATTCCAGGCCAGCACAAGCTACGTAGTGAGACTCTCTCAAAATGTGCTATATGACCGAGCAACCCAAAGAACTGAAGGCAGTGCCCTGAAAAAGACTGTAAGACGCTCATGTGCATAGACGGCCCACGATAGCAGAAACAAGCAATCTAAAGAGCACACACAGATGCACAGACAAGCACAATGCACACACATGATGAAAAACCACTGAGTCCCAGCAGGGAAAGAAGCTAGCATGCTGCGACTGGATGCACTTTGGGGAAAATATGCTCAAAGCATTTCCGTCTCAAAGGCAAAATACTGCAAAATGTCACTTGCATGAAGTGCCTAAGAGCAGTCAGGCTGCACACACAGGAGAACAGAGCAGTCAGACTGCACACACAGGAGAACAGAGCAGTCAGGCTGCACACACAGGAGAACAGAGCAGTCAGACTGCACACACAGGAGAACAGAGCAGTCAGACTGCACACACAGGAGAACAGAGCAGTCAGACTGCACACACAGGAGAACAGAGCAGTCAGACTGCACACACAGGAGAACAGAGCAGTCAGACTGCACACACAGGAGAACAGAGCAGTCAGACTGCACACACAGGAGAACAGAGCAGTCAGACTGCACACACAGGAGAACAGAGCAGTCAGACTGCACACACAGGAGAACAGAGCAGTCAGACTGCACACACAGGAGAACAGAGCAGTCAGACTGCACACACAGGAGAACAGAGCAGTCAGACTGCACACACAGGAGAACAGAGCAGTCAGACTGCACACACAGGAGAACAGAGCAGTCAGACTGCACACACAGGAGAACAGAGCAGTCAGACTGCACACACAGGAGAACAGAGCAGTCAGACTGCACACACAGGAGAACAGAGCAGTCAGACTGCACACACAGGAGAACAGAGCAGTCAGACTGCACACACAGGAGAACAGAGCAGTCAGACTGCACACACAGGAGAACAGAGCAGTCAGACTGCACACACAGGAGAACAGAGCAGTCAGACTGCACACACAGGAGAACAGAGCAGTCAGACTGCACACACAGGAGAACAGAGCAGTCAGACTGCACACACAGGAGAACAGAGCAGTCAGACTGCACACACAGGAGAACAGAGCAGTCAGATTGCACACAGAATAGTGGCTGCCAGGGGCTGAGGACAGGAAACATCAGCTGTTTAACAAGTAGTTTCCCTTTCTTAAGGAAAAAAAGAGTTACAAAGATAGAATGTGGTGACTGCTGTATAACATTAATGTGTTCAAAACTGATACACTGTGTGCCTAAACAGGGTTAGGGTGGCAGATCTCAGGGGAGGTGTATTATACTATAATCTGGAGAAAGAGAGGAAAGGAAGGAAAAGCAGCAGAGAATTGTGATCTTAGGTTGGGCAAAGAGTTCTTAGGTAAATAAAAAGCATCATCTCACCAATTTTTAAATCTTTTACACTTTAGAAAACACTATAAAGAAAATGAAAAGCCCCAGGCTGGTGAGATGGCTCAGCAGATAAAGGCACTTGCTGCCAAGTCTGAGGACCTGACTTCAATCCCCAGGACCCACATGGTGGAAGGAGAAAATAGATTCTAGCAAGTTTTCTTCTGGCCTCCATACAATTACTATGGTACACGCACACCCCACATACAAAAGTAAGGAAATGTAGTTTAAAAATTAAAGTTTTATTAAAAAAAAATTGAGAGGTCCCATTTGGGTGGCAATGGGGACATCAACTACGACGAACTTCCAACTGCTTTTAGGATGTTGGCAGATGTAGGCAGAAACGGGGGAGATAGGGGCACCACACTTTCTGCTCGACTGTGCTATGACCCTAAAACTGCTCTAAAAACTAAAATCTACTAAAATAAACAAATCATTGCACAAGCAGGCGAATCTCTGTCAGTTCAAGGCCAAACTGGTCTACATAACGAGCTCCAGGCCTTGTCTCAAAAAAAAAAAAAAAGCTAATCTTCCCATCGAGTGTTGATTATCCTGAATGCTGGGGTACTGGACTGAGTGAACATCAGAAAGGCTGTGTGAGTACTCACCAGTAATTCACACAGCTGAAAGCACACAGACTCAAGAACATTTGAAGCACAGAACTACAATTAACTGCTGGATGACATGGATGCCACATGACATGGCTATCAATTACTCTCTCTTTGGATGGCACTGGAGAAAAGCTCAGAGAAGGCAGAGGTAACAACACTTGGCTTAGCAAGCAGCATTCCTCACAGAGACCCTTTGACCGCACGCCTTGCTTCTGCTTGTCATACACAGCTCTCTGCAGTAAGAGCGCCCTGCACCTGCCCGCCAGCTCTTGCGAACCTCTCACAATTGTCATCCGAGGCTGAGAGGGGCGGGCCTGCTTCTCCACTGTCAATGCTCTTGGTGCCTCGAGCCTAACCTCCTCTGCTTCAACTTCTTTATGCTCCTGCCGCAGTTCAATCAGCTCTTCACCAGAAAGCTCCTCGCCCCAACAATGATACTCTTGAGAATGTCCTCCTCGTCAGTGTCCAATACTAGCTGCTTTCCGAGAGCTAGCATCTTGTCGCTATTGCATCACTAGCATCTTTGTTAAAGCCCTGATTGTACTCACGTCTTCCAAACTTCCTTCCAAAAGCAGTGCATGCATGCTGTGTGACGTCTTCCCATGCTGCAGCAATGTTCCGGATAGCATGCAGGATGTAAAACCTTTCCAGAACTCGAGGAGTGTTTGACCAGATTTAGTGGCTTCCACGTCCTATGCAAGTATTTTCTATAAATAGTGTGCTCTGAACACAGCTATAGCACCTGGTCCAGTGGCTGAAGAGCATGGTAGTGGTCTCCGCAAATACACCAGCTGTACACCAGGATGCACTTCACTAACGTGTGGTGGGTGCATAAATAGTGTGCTCTGAACACAGCTATAGCACCTGGTCCAGTGGCTGAATAGCATGGTAGTGGTCTCCACAAATACACCAGCTGTACACCAGGATGCACTTCACTAACGTGTGGTGGGTGTCCTGGAGCACCGTCTAGGATCCGAAGAACCTTGAATGGGACACTGCTTTGCCTGTGATCTTCTCTTGCTTGTGGAACAGAACAGGTCAGAAACCAGTCTTCAACAATGCTGATGCCATCCAAGCCTTCTCGTTATGGTGACAGTAAACAGGAAGCCTTGTTCATTTTTGGATGTTCTAGGTTCTGAGTGGTAGATCAGAAAAGGCTTTCATTTGAACTGTGTAACATCCCCTCCCAAGAGCAGAGCTCTGCAGCCTCTGATTCCTCGTCTTGTCTTGGACTCTTCACGATGCATGCACCTCTGACATGCACTTCCACAACACACTTGTTTTATCAACATTAAATGTCTGTTCCGGTAAGTATCTCTGATCCACAATTATCCTATGCAACTCTTCCCTAAATGATTCAGCACATTCAACATCAGCAGCAGCTGCCTCGCCACTTAACACGATGAAAATTATGACGTTTTTTTGACGCGTGGGAAC